CGGCGGTGTGGGATGAAAGGGGGGATCCCGAGCGGGAGCTGGATGCACGCCGCCACGGAAGACTTTTCCTCGGAGCTGTTGCTGCTTGAGTCTCAGATCCCGACTGTCAGCAGGGTGGGTTGTCTTCTTCTTCAAAGATCTCAGGTCTGAGTGAGTCTCCGGTGTACGTGTATATATGTTACCTATAACATATATAATATGTTGCATAGCTATTAATCTATCCCCCCCCTCCCCCCGAAAGGGACGAAAGTCTTTAATAGGAGTTACTCTATATGTGGAAGCAAAGAAATCTTCTTTCAAGTGGAGCTGCAGTTTTGCTGAATAATCACGTGTGAGTTAGGGGCGGGCTCTTGGCAAGGAGGTTTTTTACGAGTATTTACTACAAGGTCTACTCCAGAAGATTAACCATCCCAATCCTTCTGTCAGTCTCCGATGCCATGCCTGGTTAAAAAAAAAAAAAAAAAATCTCATCTTTTTTCCGATCGTCAGTCACCCTAAAGAATGGCCGAGCCTTCTGGGAACGAGCTGGCGTCCGCGGCTGCCAAGGGGGACCTAGAGCAACTTACTAATTTGTTGCAAAAGAATGTAAACGTCAATGCACAAAATGGATTTGGGAGGACTGCGCTGCAGGTTGGTATCCAGAGAGGGAGAAAATATTTCATCACTGGTACCTACGTGACCCGGGTTTCCAAAAAAGACAACGTTTTAAACAGGCTGGTGGATGAAATTCGAGTGGTTTTTCAAACTCGTTGGATGCCATATTTTATAACTTTAGTGGCTCCAACTCCCTAAAATGACGTACTTGAAATAAAACTGGTCAAAACCATGATTTCAATCGGGGCTCACCCTCAATGTCAAACGGGCTACGAGTTTGCTAATATTTTGTAACTTCGTGGGGAGGAGGCAAGGAATGAACGAGCCGAGATGAAAAGAAATCAGCTTAGGTGAGCAGGATTTCATAGCAGGTCTGTAAACACAAATGTGCTGTTCTCTGAAGCTTAGGACTTATCTCTTTTTTTTTTCCTCCTTTTTTAATCTTTTTTTTTAATTTCTTTTTTTTCCCCTGCAATATGCTTTTAAAGCCTGACTCGTCTCGGTTCTGGGGTCTGCTGTAGAGGGTTCTTTTCCTTCATACGCTGTTTGTGGGGAATGACCTTTCTCATTGGGAAGCGTGCTGCTCAGAACCGAGGACCTTCGATGTACATGCAGGGGTAGCCCTGCGAGTTGGGCTTCCAGCTGAATCACTCGCCTTTTCATTCACAGTTAAGGCTTGAAAATTTGCTTTTTTCAGATCGGCTAGCAGGGCACTGCTTCCAGCTATTTCCTTTCTGATCGTATAGGGTGCTACGTCCTAATTTTTAAGTGTGTGGCTGTGCACGCAGGAGTTGGAACTCGTCCAACTGCTAACTATTGGAGCTGATGAAAGATTTTGCTTTTACTAATATCAGATAATGATGGCGAAAAGGCTAGAATGCCTCCCAAATAGCGAAAGAAGGGATTTATAAATCCGGAGGAAAAAATGTGGGGTTATTTGTGCTTAAGGTATAAGTAATGAAATGTAGAAGTGGAGCTACAGGTCTTTTTAATTTCACACGTTAGAAAAATCGTTTGTTAACCCCTCTGCCCCCCTCCCCTGAAACCGTGATAATCATTTCTGAAACTGGGGTTTTAAACAGCATACAGCTTGCGAATGTGCTCGAGATATTTACAGCTTTTTTTTTGGCTTAACTTCAAAATCTTAGAGCTGGAAAATAAGCACCTCTTGCTAAAAAAACCAGGAATGACCCTTTTTTCACAATTTCGCTGGAGCTGGAGCTCTACAAGCTCCTCTGTCCTGTTAGCACCTAAATAGGGCATCGCACGGCAGTGCAGGCACTTGCAGCAACTTTTAAGAGAGCGAAAGGATTTAAATTAAAAACTTACACCAACTAACTTCTTTAAGAAAGCAGGAAACATTTAACTAGCTGGTTTATCCTCAGGACGAGGGATGAAAACTGATTTCTCCTACAGTAGTGTGATTTGGTTTGGTTTTGTTTTTTCTAAAAGCAGCTAACTGTCTGTATCCTGAATTAAGGAATATTTTACACAATGACATAGCATCCAGCTATATTAAACATGCATCTGTGTCGTAACAATACTTCTTATCGCTGCCTAATCATAACTGAGTTAATGAACCACAACAAAAATCAAAACAGGAGAATCTGTCGACTTATTTTCAATATGTATCATCCCGAAATGTGCTGTGGGTGCGTGACCACGCTCGAAAGAGCTCCCTGTCAGTGCACTCTGCAAAAAGGAGATAATCTCCCCATAATCTCTCTCTCAATTAAAACAGAGAGAATGCTCCTGTATTAATGCCAATGAATTTATATTTTTCCTCTGCATTTATGTTTAATTAAACAACTGCTCGGCTTGTCTTGCTCTGTACTTTTTATTTCTAATGAAGTGTACCTACGCAGGCCTCAAATACATGTTCTGCCCTTATGCTCTTTGTCAGACTTATTCAATTAATGCTTTCTCCCTCTTTGCCTCCCCCCCCCAAGTGAAACTTTGCAAAATGAAGGGCGTTTGCTGTACAGTTGTAGCCCACGTCCCAATAGCATCACCTTTTCTATGATTTTTCTCCCCCCTGCATCTTTAACTGAAGCCTCGGGTCCCCTAGCCTGAACACAGAAAACTCCCACTTAAACCAAATACATGTTTTGAATTCACAAATAATACAGCCTGGGCGCTCAAAAAGAGATCCAAACATCCAGATTTTACTAAAGAAAGAGAGATCACAATGCTCTTGTTTTCTTTTACATCGCTTCCATCTCTAGTCAGAAGTGAAAGAAATTACACATACGGAGCTGGAAGCCTTGGGGCACAGAGAAATCTC